TGATGTGCAGTCGGCGGCGAAGCGTGGCGGCGCTGGAAGTAGGGGGCGATGGTGCCGAGAGAAGGCGCCGCCGTCGTGCTCAGGTTCGCCGAGCTTCGCGCGCAGGGCGGCGGCCTGGTCCCCACCACCGCCGGCGGCGAGGGAGACGAGCTCGTCGGACCAGGCAGCCGAGGGAATGTCCCAGAGGTTCATGCCCGTAATGTCGCTGATGTCGAAGGGGGCGATGCGGCCCAGGAGCAGGGAGGCGAGGAAGGAGGAGATGAGCGATATGCGGGCGGTGGCGGCGTACATGGCGGGCCGCTTCTCGCGGAGGCGCATGATCTGGGTGCCGGTGAAGCGGTGGTGGGCGGCGCTGCCAGTGACGTGGGCCAGACGCTGGGCGTCGCCGAGGTGCTCGTCGAAGCGGTCGCACTGGGCCTGGGTGCTGCCATCCTGCCAGTTGGGGGCGTAGGGGTGGGAGAAGGCATCGGCGAGCTGGTCGACGAGGGCCTTGGCGGGGTCGAGGTTGGCGAGCAGGGCCTCGGCCTCGGCGGACCAGTACGTGCTGCCGTGCTGCTGGCAGGAACCGGAGATGCCCTTGATGCGGGCCACGCTGTCGGGGCTCGTCTCGCGCAGGCGGTCGAGGGCAAGGTCGAGGGCCTCGAGGAAGAGGGCTACGGGGGCGAAGACCTCATGTTCGGCGTCGTTGGTGAGGACGCCTTTTGTGATGTTGTACTTGGAGCCAAAGTCAGCGTCAAAATCGACCTTGACCTCGGCGACGACGGTGAGGTCGGACTGGACAACGATGGCTGGCTGGTCAGCGTACGGTCTGGTGAAGATTGTGGTCAAGTCCAGAGGGTAGTGATGGGATGGAGAGGAGGTCTGTTTTGGAGGGGCAGCAGCAGGGGCAGCAGGAGGGACAGCAGCAGGCAGGCGAGGGGCAGCAGCAGGGGCAGGCGAGGGGATGAGGGGCAGGAAGTACCTTTGAGCTGCTGCGTCGACAGGTCGAACCCAAGATACAAGGGGCCCTCGGCAGACATGACAGGCGAGGAGGATGCAGAGTCGGAAGAAAGGAGAAAGGAGAAAGGAGAAAAAAAAAATCAACAAGGAGAAACAGGCAGAAAAGACCAGGCTCTTGGTCCTTTAAACACCAGACCCCCCTCATGTGTGACCGTCACTCAATTTTTTCCGGGTCAGCCCATCATCGTGACGCGGGGATGGCGGCAGTACCTCTCAGCGTACCTATCTGGGTGTCTGGGGTCCAGGCTGCTCAACGCGACAAGCCTCCGAGCTCAGAGTGACATGCGCATCTTCGAGCGGCAGAAACGGGGGGACCCTCTCAGCCTTGGCCGCCCGAGCAGGGTGGGACCCCTCATTCTGCTTTGCTGGCCCGCTAAGATGTGGCCGCAAAGCTCCTGAGACGCGATTTAGGCTAAAGTGCAGGCCCTCCTTTGGTGCTCAAGGTGCTTGGTGCTAAAAGGGCTAGGTGCTAAAGGTGCGAGGTGCTGCTATCCTTGGTGCGCGTCATTACCCTTAGCCTGTCAAGTCTCCCAGCGAGTCGGGTCCCCAGCGCTTGTGCTGCCGTGGGCTCATGCGCGCCAATCGTCATCTTGGCTGGTGCCAGCACTCGGAGTGTCGCCTTTCAAGCTCTTGGCGCTGAGGGTCCAGGTCCCGATCGTGTCTTTCTGTCCGAGCATCCCAGGGGGGGGGGGATGAACGCCATGTGGAGAGCGCGCGACCGAGATGGGAAGGTCGAGGTGGCCTCCGACGTCGGCGTCGACAGGCATTGCATCATCATCATAAAATCATCACGAAGGCCAATATCAGATTACGGCGAAGTGAGAAAAATGGTAATTGAAGAATTGCATGCCGGCAGAGCTACCTTTGTGTGTCGCCCGTCAACCAGCGTGAGCTGCGTGTAGCCTCAGCTCGGTCAACCCCCCCCCCCCCCAAAAACGCCATTCCCACGCAGGACGTACCTGCGCCAGCCAGCCTGTCCCAGCCGGGGGGCCGGGTGTTTTTTTTTTGCTGGACCAATTGGGAATTCAAATGCCATAGTGGAAAGCCACATCGGCAGAACAAATGCCATGTCGGCATGACCAGAATTCCATGACCTCTCTGCGGCTGACGAAAAGACGGAAAAAAAAAAAAAAAAGAAAAATCCCGGGACATCTCAGCGCTCACTGGGGCTTCTCGGGGGCGGGGCCATTGCCATTGCCATTGCCATTCCCGGGGTTGTGTCCATTGCCGTTGGGGTGTCCGTTCCGGTGCCGTTCCTGGGCCCAAGGTCATGGTCAAGATCATGGTTGTCCTCGTCCTTCCGACTCGGGGCGGCGGCCGCTGGCTGGCCTCGCCCGAAGATGTACCTCGTCAAAACTTGCCGGGCGACGGGCGCCTCCTTGGGGCACGTAGCGGGATCCGCCCGCCGGCGGACACCGCGCACCTTGGCGCCGACCCGCTCGCGCACGGCGGCCTCGACCTCCCGGGCCTCCTCGACGGTCCAATCGCCGGGGACGGCGAGCTCGACGTCGACGAGGTAGTTCTGGCCGCTCTTGACGCCGGCGACGTCGCGGACCTCGACGTCACGGCCGACGCCGCGGGCCTCGAGGCTCGCGCGGGCGTGGCGCGTGACCGAGGCGCGGACGTCGTCGTCGATGCTGCGGTCGGCGAGCTCGTAGAGGGCGCTGACGGTGTTCTCGGCGCCGGCCTTGACGACGAGGAGCGAGATGAAGAGGCCGCCGACGGGGTCGAGCCAGGCGGCGTTGGAGAGGATGTTGGCGCCGAGGACGACGGCGAGGGTGACGACGCCCGTGAGCGAGTCGACGCGGTGGTGCACGGCGTTGGAGGCGAGGACGGAGGATTTGCGTTCGCGGGCGACTTTCATGGCTGCTGCTGTCAGTTTCTTTCTGTCTCATGTCTCTTTCGTCTGCCTCTCTCTCTCTCTCTCTCGCACAAACTCACTTGCGTGGTAGAGCCACTCCTTGATGGCCACGGTGCCGGCGGCCAGCCACGCGGCGTGCAGACTGGGCCCGGCATGACCGTGGCCGTGGGCGTGGCCGCCGTGGCTGTGGCCGTGGTGCATGTGGGCAATGGCGTCGGCGGCGGCGGCGGGGTCGAGGAAGAAGTGGGCGTGCAGGGTCAGCAGGCTGCTCCAGAACATGAAGAGGCCGCCGCCGAGGAGCATGCTCGAGACGCCGAGGGAGCCGAGGCTCTCGACCTTGCCGAAGCCGGCGGGGAAGGCGTCGGTCGGCGGCTTCAGGGACCACGAGACGGTGGCGAGGGTCAGGATGTCGGAGGCGAGGTCGGTCAGCGAGTGCCAGGCGTCGGCGATGAGGGCCTGGGAGCCAAAGGCGTAGCCGCCGGCGCCCTTGGCGAAGGGCAATGCCGAGGTTGGAGAAGAGCCGATGCGGGTGATGCG